TTATAAGCAAGGCTAAGAAATATCAGAATATCTTGAAATTAATGGACTAGAGGGTTATTCACCATAATCAAGAGTTATGGATGGATTCATTATAGATGTCTCTCTTAAGAAAAGTTATGTGCAGATCTTTAATTTAGTGCCGCTTTAAGGTATAATGGAAAAACTTTCTCCCATCAATGGCATTATTCATGAAGTTATAGTGTAACCTTCTGCATCCTTGAGGGCCTCAAATATTATTACAGGGATTTAGATCTTTTTCATCATAGATTCCATTGATGTAAACTTGATTTCCCTTGAAATTCTTATTTTATGAATGATTAATAGATCCTAAGGCCCCATTCAGGAAGTTATTTATCCATGTAAATGCACTTAATTACCTGGGTAAATATTTCCTAGGAAACACTTACCGAGGTAAGTCTATTTATCCATATTCTGAAAATGGATATCTTGATCAATATGAACTAAAATTCCATTAACCAACTTTTTCCCCTCTCAAAATACAAATAAATAAATAAATAAATAAATAAATAGAAGAAGGGGCCCTAAGTTATAGTTAGGGTTACTAGGATTTTAGTATAAAAGGACATTAAATTTCAGTTTAAATTTGTTCTTTCATTCCCACCTAATGAAGTGTTTCGCGTGAAAAGAAAGGAGAACTAGATACTGTTTCCAATTGATAATAACTTTTGAATCCACAAGAGAAATAAAAGCTCCGCTTAATAAAAAAAGCCCCTTACAGTGCATGCCTCAATAATAACTATAATAAATAAAACCCTAGCGACCTTAAGACCCAAGAGAAGTCTTATTGAAAATACAATTTCTATTAAGCTCAAATCTCATCATTAACCATACCAATGGTAAATTATAACTGTTATAACCTTTTTCAAATCACGTATTGGCAAAACTATATAAAATGTCAAACGGATCAATTTTGATCCTCCAAATCAAGATAAAAGAATAATGGCAAACTAAGATACATTAAATTTATTTACAATTCCTGTTTTCCTAAACCCTAATAGTAAATGAATTTGGCCATCTCGATCAACATCATTGCTTTTCAGCAAGTCCTTGGTTAATTATTCAGTTATTCATAAAAGAAACATCTAATTTAGCAGTTAGGGCAGAATTAGTAATCATTAGGGGTGGCCATGAACCAAGTTTTTCACGAGCTACTCGAGTTCAGCTCGTGAAAAGCTCGGCTCAGCTCGGTTTTAATCAAGCTTTGAGCCGAGTTTGGGCCTAATAAAGCTCGACTCATGAGGTTCGCGAGCTGAGCTCGAATATATATAATAAAAGTATTATAATTCTTYAATTTTTAAATATAAAACAATTTTTTTTTATATATAATTTTTTATTTTTATAAAACATTTTTTCTCAAATCAAGCTCGAGCTGAGCCGAACCAAGCTCGAATTTATGAGTTTTTGACTTGAGCCGAACTCAAGCTCAAGGTTCTAGCTCGAGACTTGTCCTACCTTGGTGAGCCAAACTCGAACCTCATACTATTCGGTTCGGCTCAGCTCAAATCCACCCCTAGTAATTATGCATGTTATTGAAAATGGGATATCTTCTTTTAAAGGAAAAGGCAGAAAAAGTAAAAATATACTTATATACTAATGGAGACTCATGAAGATATTAGGACGTGGATACCCCAAATCACAATTGATAGTTTTAGGCTAAAACTTTTTTAGGGTGAGTAAGGAAAACCAAATCAAACTGACAAGACTGAATTGAAAATATTAGTAAATTGAATCAATCGGTTCTGTTTTGGTTTGGTATTATTGAAAAATTGAAGGTATTAATTTGAACCCATTAATCGATCAGTTTCAGTATTGTTTCAATTACTGATTTTTCAAAAACCGATATTACCGAAACGATTCGATTTGAAATTTAGACCAATGGTTCGGTTAACCCCTATATTTTTTGGAAGATGAATTAGGGAGCACTTAAAAAGAATAATTTACAAACAGGACGTGGATCAAAGTTTAATTTTCTCTAAAGAACAACACAGTATATACAGAAAACAATTATAGTAGTGTGAACAGCTGGCCGGAACCTGGACAGCCTAACCATTCAAAACGAGTGAAAAACGGAGTAAGCCGAGTTTGGACTTTGCCTTATTCCAACTTGACTTGAGGGGTGGAGAGGGAGTAGGTTTGATTGATAAAACTTGTGAAGCGCTCTCTCCTCAGTCCTCACTCACTCTCTGTCTTGCTCATGTTGAACATCGATCCTATATTCTATCCTTTTTGTGGGGGACTGTCCATAATCCATATCGTTTCTCAAAACAATATACCCAATCTGATATGTCCACCATGTGCAACATACCACGAGGCCACAACTGCAACATGTGGGAGTATCTAGCTATCCCACCCCAACTCGATGTACGTGTAGCACAGAGGGGCCAACCACGGTCACGGTCAGGTCGAGAGTCCAAATTATCAGAAACCACAGTGCATTAAATTTCACCTTTATCGGTTTCTACCCCACCACGCCTTAGCAAAAACACACACACACACACTTTCAGTCACACAAAAACCCAGCATAAGAGAGAGAGAGAGAGAGAGAGATCCCCGTATCCTAGCCAACAGCAACAATACCTCTTCACAGGCTTTTGCAGAGAAAGCTTTACCCCTATAGTACATGCATGCATGCATCCATACTACGACCATGAACGACATTTACATGGGAAACGAAAGACAAAGGTAGAGGACAAACTCCAAGATCTCGGTGTTATTTGTTGTTATTTGCACGATATATCATGAGATCGATCAATGCAAACTATTTTGTGTTGTTGTTTTAGGTGGTCCATATTTACTGCTCTTCTCTTCTCTTGCTCCAGTGAGTGTTGCCACCGTGAGGTAATGTTGGGCTTTAAACCCATTTTACTGTACACTGAGCGGTCAAGCCTTAGTGCTGTAGAAACGGAGACTATAACAGTTGCCACCACTTGGGTCAATGGGATAGTCCTAAAGAAACTTGGKATGTCTATGCCTAAGGTCTCTATCAGCTATTAGGCCTTGGTACGGTTTTTTTTTTTTACCTTCTCACACTTGCATTAGGAATTTAGGATATAGGGCCCACCCACTGTATGTATGGTTTGTCACATGGGAAATCTACTGTTTAATTTCCTCAATTTAGTTACTTGATCGACTTGGTGGAGCCCTATGATCTTGTGACTTCATCTGAATGGTCAACAATTAAACTAGATATAAAATATATATGAACGATGGTCCCGGCCCACTTGGGTCTGTAGAGGACGGATGGTCATTGACATTCTACCGATTAGATTTTTTGTTAAGGAAGATACTATACCGCGCGTTTGCCAGACAAAATGAGATCGGTACGTAGGTAGGGCCCCTTTAATAAGCCATGTCTTATTTGCAAGTATTATTAGGACGTCAATATTCCCGTTTGAGTTCGTTTTGTCAAGGAGGGAGAAATATCAAATATAATTGTTTACAAATTAAGTTTATATAACCAAGGTGTTTCTGTTTGTCTATCCAAGCAAAGTACAAAGTGTCCAGGTGGGTAGTATTGAGAAAAGCTTCTCAGGTGATGCTTGTACACTCAGCTCAGAGCCCATTGGTTATGTGGATTTGTATTGTTTGCCACTGCCCAAAGCTGCCTCCACCGTTTCATTATCATTAAATTACTCATCATCTTTTGAGTTTTCTCAAACCGAGGCTAATAAATGGTCATTGAATCAAATGCATCCCATTGATACATGGTGTGAGTTTCCTACAAACCTCCCTGGCCATCCCCCCTCCCAAGAAAGAGAGAGAGAGAGAGAAGAAAAACTCTAATTTGTTTTTGGTTCAGCATTGATGATGTTGTTGTCTATAACTGAGTGGGTAACTATTTAGACATTGAGTGCGTGGATAGATCATTTAGTTCTGTTGCATGGACCACTTTCTCTCTCCCTCCCCAGTACCCACACGGCCACACATGTAGACTACATCCATGGACCATGGTCCATATAAACCCAACAAACGTTGGACAAAACCAGCCACTAGCTAATTCCCTTGTTATTTACAAGGACATATAAGTTGCGTAAGAGGCAGCCCGGAAAGCACTCTCTCACAGTCACAGTCTCTCACTTAGCTTGTATGGCTTGTGACTTGAGAGTGAGTGAGTGAAGCTTTACTTTTGGGGCAATTCTGGGGAAGAGGAAAAACTTTTGTTTACATGTGGATGGATGGTGATTGTTTTTGAACTTGTAAGAGAGACGTCAGGGTCATCTTTTTCACCAAAGTTAGGGTTCCTTTGCSCAACATTTGTAGCAGATAACAAATAAAACCCTAGAAATGTGTGGAGGAGACTGGAGAGTGAACAAAGGGGTAAGGCTTAACTAAATTTGCTAACACAAGCCAAAAAGAAATAGAAATTTAGGAAAGGACAAAGGTGCAACTTACAAGGGAGGAAAAAGAGAGGAGAGGATCTCTGTCTACTGTTGTTGTTTATTGACTTGAATACGTGTATGTGGATATGTGTGGGTGTGTGGGTGTGTCTGATGTGTCTGTGAGTGAGAGAGAGAAGTGTGAGTGTGTAGTCAAATCGGTAGAAGTAAAGCTTTGTTTTTCTCCAACTCACTCAGAATAAATAAATAATAGAGTAGGTGGTGAATTACCCTAAGAAGGCGGAGTGGCAAAATTTTTTTAGCTTATTGCCCGAGAGTTTGAAGAGGGGGACATCGATTCGGAAAGCGAGAAAGGCTTGGCAATTCACCCTCTTAACTACGAAAACAACAGATGAATGAGCGAAAGCTAATCACCCCATGCAAACGTCCCTTTCTCGCTCCTCTCCCCCACCTCTGCCGCCTCTGCTGCTACTCTCTCTCTCTCTCTCTCTCTCTCTCTCTCTCTCTCTCATCGGGAATGCCAACCACACATTTCCTTGCAATTTAACCTCAGGCGTATGTTAGAGTAGGCTCTGGTTCTCCCTCACTCTACCCTATGAATGATACATTTCTACAATACAATACATGTATAATATCTATAAAATATATTAAACAACGACACCACCAACACCACCAAGCACCACCCAAGCAGAGGGAAAGAGAAGGCGTGCTTTCTGAGTTCTTTACATCTACTACCTTATAAGTCGATCCATCTCTTCTTCTTCTTCTTCTTCTTCTTCTTTCCTATCTTTGATTCTCCATTTATAACTACTTGTCAACAAGAACATATCCGAGTTGATTAGCTTGTCAATCTATCAATCATCAGTCAATCAATCGAAGCTAATCAATCAAGTGATCCAATCAAATCAAGGAATCAAACATGTCCTCGTCCTCTGCTTTTTCACTGGACCACCTATCTCCCTCCGAGCAGCTCTGCTACGTCCATTGCAACTTTTGCGACACTGTCCTCGCGGTATCAAATTCCCCATCTCTTCTGTTTGTCGTGAATCATGGCTACTGCACATCCACTGCCCATTTGTTTATCCTTGACACTGCACTTGCGGCACAACTTAGCCCAATTAGGGTTCTCTAGGGTTTCAGCTTATTCTCATTTTTTTTTCTTCTTACATAAAAGATGCTCCTTTGTTCCATGATAGGTGAGCGTCCCGTGCAGCAGTTTGTTCAAGACGGTTACGGTTCGATGTGGGCATTGCACCAACCTCCTCTCTGTTAACATGCGCGGGCTGCTTCTACCTGCAGCTAATCAGCTTCACCTTGGCAATACCTTCTTCTCTCCTTCCCGCAACTTTCTGGTAAAATGGAGGAATCTAGTTATTTCTTTATCAAGTTTTATGGAATTGATTTTTTTTATGTGAATTTATTTGTTGTTCTCGATCAATGGTTGTGTTGCAGGAAGAGATCCCAAGCCCACAGCCCAACTTGTTGATCGATCAGCCTAACCCAACTGACTCAATTGTTTCAGTCCGAGGAGGAAGCGATGAGCTCCCCAGACCCCCTGTTGTTAACAGACGTGAGATTCCTTGAAACATTTGTTTGTCATTTTCATGTCTCTGCAGCGCCTGTGTTTGCTATAAGGAGTGGCTTCTCTGGCAGCTCCTTTGTTCCATCAGAATGTTCTCTTCTTTCTCCATTCCATTTTTCCTTAACAAAGTATACAACTTTATTTCCCTTTTAGAAAAATAAAATATATATAAACGACCTGCACCATACTCCTCTAAGGATAGTCATGTCTTAGTCAATCAAGAAAAGAAGAGTTAGAAAAATTAGACAATATGCTTTATAAGCTTGCGGCTTACCACTGCGCCCTGGTAAAATCGCAAGGTTTGGTGGAGGGAAGAAAGAAACTTTAATGCAATAATAGAAGCCCACTCCTCCCTTTCCTGCTATCTCAGCCATTTTTTTTTTTTTATAGTACTAAAAGACTCTCTTCAGTGGTCATGACTGTCACAAAATTCATTTCTTTTCAGTGCACCGTTTTTTGTTTAACATCCATCTTTTACCTCCACTTTCATATATATCTACAGTTAGCCACAGTTAACATTTGAAATCGCCACAGAAAAGTTCATTTGTGGGTACCATCAAGATGTTCTCTCTTTGGTGCGAACTTCCCTGCCGTTTTGCCTTGTTAGCAAAATCCTCCATGAAACCCATTCAGAAGATATTCTGAAAATTTCCAAGTTTTGGGTTTGTTTCCTTCTCTCCTCACTTCTTGTTACATGTGTATCGGAATTGATTATAATCGGTTGCTTTTTTGAGTTTTATATATCCATGCTTTCTTTTGGGTTGTGGTTTTTTATTTTGGGAAGAGGAATATAGGATGTGTGTGTGTGTGGTTTATAATTGTTTTTGTGTGTATGTGTGTCTTGGACAGAGAGAGGGAGAATAGAATCTATAGATAGTTATAGATAGATAGATAGATCAGATAGTGGTGATGATGAAGTGATGATAGAGAGATAAAAAAAATGCAGAATTTCACAAAAGTCAGTGAAGTGTTTTTAATGTGTCTGTCCAGCTCCGGAGAAGAGACAGAGAGTCCCGTCTGCGTACAACCGATTCATCAAGTGAGTAATAATGAAAAGTGTTTGAGAAAAAAGCTTCTTTTTTTTGTTTCATTTTCATTTCCTTCCTTTTAGTTATTTTATTCTTTTTGACATTTTAATAGATTTGTTGTTGTTTCTAAGACACGGTAGAATCCGAAACATAGAAACAAATGTATGATCTTGACACCTACTGCTGCAGGGACGAGATCCAACGCATCAAGGCAGGAAATCCCGATATAACCCATAGGGAGGCTTTCAGTGCCGCTGCAAAGAACGTAAGATCCAAGAAAGTTACAGCATTATTTCTTAGCTCTCTACTGCTATCTCTATTTCCTTCATTCCTTCTCATTTCTCAAACTAGAGTTCTCTCTCTCTCTCTAGCTGTATTACCCTTATTTATTTATGCATTTCTCTCTTCGGTTTCTTGATTTGTGAGTCCTCTTGATTTTCTCTCAGTGGGCCCACTTCCCACACATCCACTTTGGTCTCATGCCTGATCAAACCGTGAAGAAACCTAATGTGCGCCAACAGGTACCTTTCTTCAATCCACTTTAGTTAACTCCTCTCTCTCTCTCTCTTACCCACGCACACAGTAGCTAGCATAAATAGTCGCACACACATATAATCACGGGTTTCTGTTTGGAGATACTGAACGTGTTTCTCTGTTTGTTCTTGGTGAAGGAAGGAGAAGACGTTCTTATGAAAGATGGTTTCTTCGCTTCCGCCAACGTGGGCGTGTCTCCTTACTAAATAGTGAGCTGTTAGCTAGATAGGGTCTCTCGTCATTCTCTTCTTCTTTTTCTTCACTTCCTTTCTTTAGGGGAGAGACCATTGGTCTTGGCTTCTCATGTCAAATGATAGAGCAAGTCTTATATATATATATATATATATATATATATATGAAGTTTAGGATGTCAAGTCTACCAACTTTTAACTCCTCATAACCCCATCTAAAAATCAAGGTCCTAGTGTACTGATAGCTCTCTACGTGACTACGTGTATTTTGGAATTTCAATACAACTTTTAATTTGCTTGTAGAACATTAATTATCCTTTGGTTTGGAGTTTAGACATGCTCTTAGTACTGGTGTGTTTTAATTTGTATGTTATATAATCATATTATATCGTCCCTTGTTATTTTACCAGATTTTTTTTTTATCAATGTGATTGATCATATATGTGGTTAGTAAGTTCAACCATGTGGTCATTTTGTTAAACTTTGAACGTATTTTGATTTTGGATATTCATACTATTGACTAACAAAAGTACATTAATTAAAATCTAGCTAGGAAACTCTGAAGTATCTAATGATGATATATATTCTCAACACAATTCTAGCTTTTGTGACCTACGTCTACAAGGCACATATCTTTCATAACTAATTAGTATCCAAACAAAGCCATACGTGATCATATTCCTAAACACACATACATCATTGTTATGATTTTATATAGGTTAAAATTGAGAGATTCTAATTGTCTCAATATACCTCTTCTTTTATTATATTTATCTACTATTGTTCTTTTTGAATTTTCAATTTTTTTCGGAGAAGTATGGACAGGCCCAATGCAGATCTCTGATTTCCACTACAGAATTATAGACATTCAAAATTTCAAAAACCCACACTCTATACACTTATACCTGTCGTGAATTGACACCAATTCCGAACTARCACCTATTTCAAATGTACTTTGAACCTACAAATTCTGACTCTGGGCTGAACCATCATTCTCCCTTTTTTTTTGTTTCCGAGCACGTGATAAAGCAGCTCTCCTTAATTAGATCTTTTTAGATATTTGTCCTAACGTATGTTAGTCTTGATAATTTTCTGATTTCTCCCTTTCTTCTTCGTTTTGTTTTGTTTTATTACACCACCACAACAAGAAGCAGGAGGATAACAAACACCCAAATATTTTGCAATGAATTATTGAAACCACGTACGTTCTGAATCTGGAAGAGTACAAGAAATTTAGTGCTCCAACCTTAGAACAAGCAAGAAAAATTAATCACTTAATCAGATTTTTTTTTTTAAATGGTTCTTGTTTTTTATAGGTTTTACTAATAAAAAACAGAGTTATAAGCATGGTTTTTAAAAACGAACCGGTCAGGGGTCTGGTTACTGGTTTGAACAGTYCGACCATTCGACCCGAATGGCCAGTCCGTTCTAACAAAAAAATTAAAAATTTGAAAAACGGTCAAAACCGTTCGAACGATTAACCGGCCGATTCAGCGATTTACTGACCAAAATCAACGATTTTGAGGGAAAAAACGGTTTTGAAAAAAAACAGAACCGATCATCCCGGTTTTTCCGGTCTGACCGTCCGGTTTGGTCCTATTTTGAAAACAGTGGTTGTAAGCCATCATGCACAGAAATCTTCGTAGGATTACATTGGGAAAAAGTAAAACTTGGGTTTACTGGAGCAGTGCTTTAGACATGGTAGTTTTGAGAAGTATTAATTTCCTCAATTTTTGGTGACTAACTGCCAATTCTTAATTACTCAATTTTAAGTTGTAAGGAAGTTGAAATGGAATTTCGTTTCCCGTGGATGAAAATGAGATGTTTTGACCAAAACTCCATTTCCTCGAACTAGGTGCTAAAATGGCTGCAAAAACTTGGAAGCAGAGAGCTAACAGTAGTCTACATCCATCAACTGGTCTACGTACCCAGTTACTTGTAGGTGAAAACGGTATGTCATAAAGAAATAAAACGAGCTATCTTATGCCTACAACCTTAAAAAAGAGTTGCCAGTTTTAAGTGAGAAAATATGAAGCCAACTTTTAGCTCGTCGTTCAAACCAAGTGTCGTAATTCCTATAAGTCATAAAAAAACGCAACTGTGTTTCAGAATCCAACTAAAAGGTGCTTTTAAGGAAAAAAACATGATTAGAAATTTGTATAGCAACGATGTTATGCCCTAACCTTGTTTTTAAGGGCTGCAAATCTTTTGTGCATTCCTCTCTTAGGATTAATATAACATCTTGTAATTTTCTCTCAAAATAAAAAATATTTCCAGTTTAAATTTTGGGGAAAAAAAGAGTAGTATTAAATTAGTACTTTAATTTTCAAACGTATTCTTGTAGTATCTAAATTTTCAAAAAGTGTTAAGTTGCTTCAAAACTGTTAACGGGTTAAGTATCATGTAAAAGAATAAAAATACCCTTCATCTATCATCTAATTTTCTTATGATCAATATCCCATCTCTAACCGGTAACCACCTCCGGTATCAAGCTGATTATGGATTCAGATATTCACATCAACGATAAAAATACAAAAATGAACAAATAATTTTTTTATTTACAACCATGAAGAAAAGCTCATTCATTGAAGATAGAAATCTTCAATGAAAAGGGTGGGACGAATTGGGGTGGGATCGAATACATGCTTGGAGAATAGCATTTGCAAGTTTTGATATTTTCAAAATTTTTAAGTTGTACATGTCACCATGYGATCGATAACTGACGGTTGGTTAATGGTAGAGGCCAACTTGACATTTTTGAAAGTTCAAGTACTGCAATGACACGTTTGGAAGTTTGGATACTAATTTGACACTACCCCCAAAGTTTAGGGTACTAAAAACATGATTTTTATTTTATAAATTTAAAACATTATCCAGCCCAGTTCTCTTGAAATCACAACAAATTAGGACAAAAAACATGTTGAAGAATAAACCCTTCATGGACAAGGTTGACTATACCAGGAAACAATATGTTTGCATAATGAGCATAACCAAAATAAGAATGTTTATATGGRTTAATTAAGAGCAAGATTGAAAGAGATTAAAGCAAAATTTAGTACATGAGGTTGGATATTGTCAATGAAGTAAGAGGAGATCCATGGAAAACTGGAGTTGGCCGGTTCCTCACATATGAAGATTTTGCATGATAGCCACGAGGGTTACCTTATTGCAGACTGAAGACTCTAATAGGATAAAGTATGGCCCAAAGAAGCAGAAATGGTAGAATAATATTCACTTCTGCTCCTGTATTATTCATTTATATCTGTGGATGGGGGTCCGAGAAAGAAAAATTTACCAGCTATTCTGTTCTGACTTCTTCTAGAGTTCATGAAGCATACTGTTTCAAGTTTAGTGCCTGCTTGTCTGATTGTCATGGAAGCTTAGAGACATAGACGACAGAAATAAATGAAAGTAAAGATGAAGTTAATCAAAAACAATGGGATTTGAATATTATCACTTTCTGAAATGTTATCTAGAATTTCAAACTGAAGAGATTTGAGAGATTTACAGGTTATGACTTCTAACTCTTGTTAAGCGTTTTGTTTATTTGGTTATTATGGACTGACATTTCTGACCTACGAAAGAAAGATACTAGAATTCGTTCATTAATTTCTTTCAAATTTAGAGTTTTAATAATTTGGTTAACATTGTATTTTCTATTTAAAATTTAATGTGATGACGTCATATTTATAAGTTTTTTTTAATCAAAATCCGCCTAATGCTCAAAAATGCAACAGCAATATCAAAGGAATGGCCACCTTCCATCATGATTAAATTAATTCAAAATTAAAAAAAAAGAGAGAATTTTTATTAAGAATAAAAAGGAGGGGGCATGAGACCTTCGATCATGATTAAAATTTTTATATTTATCTTCAAAAAAAATCATGATTAATTGTTTTGAAGAACTGGGTTTCTAATTATCTGTGGACACTTGGGGATTAAGTGCATTCGGATACTTTAGATAAACTAATTAATTACCTTCTAATCCTACATAATAGAGTTCCATGAGATGTTTCCTTACCAACATTTGGATTTTCAACTTCTAATTAAAATTGGTTGACAAAGTTTAATCCTAATTAGTGAGAATATTGTACAAAAGAAAATTAACATAGGTTGCATTTTCTTAAATCTCACCCAAGAATTGAAGTACGGTGGCACTCAATTATCCAATTTTTAGCTTCCCCTATCTCACTATTTAGTTATTTGTCAAACAAAACCTAAAATTTGTATTCTCATTTTCATTTTTTTTTTTTTTATGGTTGTTGTGGTTGTGATGGCCAAGAAAGAAAGGACGTCTGCTCTCTTTTTTGTTAATTGTCCACCTTGTTGGATACATTCTTGTAGAACTGCTAGAGGCCCAAATAACCCTGGAAAATCTTGAGCTTGTAAAGCATAAAAGGACAAAAGGCTGAACAGGGTGTTTCTGCAAATAAATAGGGCTTAGGACTGTTTAGGGGTTTGTCGTGTTGTGTTATTCTGGGATGCCCTCGTCATAGCTTGGTTTCAACTTTCAACTTTGCAATTTGCTAAGTTGTACAACATTGTTTTGCAACAGGGGGTTCTCCAGACATTATTTGGGTCCCAACGATTCAGACAAGTAATACATTTTCTGTTTGTTTGATATTCCTGCAGAATCAAATTTGTAGAATATGATGTCTGTTTGAAATTGATAAAAATAAATAAATAAATAAGATCTAGCGAAGAAGGGTAGAAACTCAAAAACATTTTCTCTAAAACGGTGAAGAGGGTCATCAGGTAAATTATAGAGCTGGGTATTCCATTTCAGGCGAGAAGGGTAGAAATCATATTGAAGGATGAATAACTTATTAGCTAGGACGAACTTTCAGCATTTTCCCTGGAGTTAGCTAGATAATGTGAAACAGAACAGTTTTCATATATATATATTTAGTCCATTTGTTGCATGGGTGGAAGGGCCGATGTTTGTTTGAAAGAGGCCCTCAACAGTTAACACAAAACACCTATGAAAAGCAGCAGGCAAGTAACAGGAATGAATTACAGTATATCCATGTAACTTTAGCTAGTGAAGGTCATATCCATCCTGATGATAACACTTTTATGATCCTTGGAAAGAATTTGTCGCTTGTCCTTGATCCTTTTATCCTTTCAAGGTTTGATTAGACGTACGGTTATCAAAGCTTTCAGTCACCAAGACACAGACAGATGTGGCCGATTCAGACCATTCATCAGATAGCTATTTAGTCTCTCAGCATATATGTTTCTTCTAACAGTAGTACAGGCCAGCTTTATGATCTCTCACCACAACCATCGATGATCGATCCCTTTTTGTCAAAATTTTTGAATAAGGAAACGGCCGGTTAAGAAAATAACTTCATTTTTTGGCACAAGGAAGAGCCATTGGAGGAGGGTTTAAGTGAAAATTTGCAC